CAAACTACACTGTAGCCACAGCTGCCCTGGGGCACACTGACAGAAGCGAGGCTGCCATGCACCAGTGCCACCGGACCCTCTGACCACCATCAGTAAGCAAGGTGGGTGAAGTGTCTTTCCCGAAGACCCAACAATTGAAACGGCTGGACGGGGAATCGAACCGGCGACCTTCCGGTTCCAGGACTGATCACAGTCCTCCTGGTACTTAACAGCATATACTATATTACTCGTTTTTGCCGGGGAACTGGATCTTTGGGGTGAACTAATCTTTGTCGTAATGTGTTTTGGGGTTTGAAAGCCACTGGGATGTCATGTTTAGAGAATAAACGTCTCAGTTTCTCTGAAACTCCCGCCACATATGGAATGACGACTGGTTTGGGTCTGGGTTTAGGGTTTTCATTTTCACCTGGTTGTTGGCTGGAATCCTGTTTGGATTTCTTGTCTGCTTTCAGAAAAGCCCAGTTAGGATAACCGCACTGCTCCAGGGCCTGTCTTGTGTGTGACTTCTCTTTCTGCCTGGCTCCTGGGTTTGTGGGGACACTGTCTGCTCTGTGGTACAGAGTTCTGATCACTCCTAACTTGTGTTCCAGTGGGTGATGGGAGTCAAAATGCAAATACTGGTCTGTATGGGTGGGTTTGTGATATACGTCTGTTTACAACCATCCTCAATCAGAAACTGAGACATCACAGTCCAGGAAAGCCAACCTGCCATTTTTTACATCTTCTTACGACCCATCGTTATGCTGATGGTCCTCTTTTGCATATGACCAACCTGTTTGTCCACCATGTGGTGGCAGTGCTTATAAAGCTGAGTTCAACTGGAACTCTTCACACTGAGGAAGACTCTTAGAGGAGAGACGAAATGTTTCATTGAAGAAGAACCCATCCAGAGGACCTACATTTTATTCTTTTTGATTTTTCTACCTAGATTACTGGGATGCATCAGGATATTTTCTGTGAATGTTTAAAATCCGGCACCATATGATCTTGATTATACAAATGAATATAATGCCCCAAAGCAAATGTGTTTTATGAAAACTTTTTTGCCACTTTAAATGTATGAGTCAATGACATCACCTTATTCTGTTCTTCAATCAAGATAATCTAAATATAAAAATAACCCTTTGTGGCAGAAACAAATAAGGAGTAGCCTAAACCAAAGTACAAGTATAAGCTTTAGTATAAAAGATCAAGTTTAACTCTTAGTATGAATTACTTAGTCTTAAACTTCTTCTTTATACTTTTCAGTAAAAGGCCATGTTTACTTCAATATACTAGTCTTAAGTAATAGTTTATAAGCATCTAGGCATCTATGCATGCATATTCCCATAAATATCTGCTCCTTAATTAGGAATTAAGCTATTAATTAGCTGCAGGTCAAATATACAGCACTTAAATACATAACCAAAAACATTGCAAAAATATATCCAACATATATCCACATATCTTTTTTGCTTTGTACTTTTATTTTACTTCATATTTGTTTGTTTTTGTTTTTTGTTTGTTTTGTTTTCTTCCCTAATCTAAATTCAAAAGTTGCCACAGTGTAATAAAATGTCAGTTTTGTTCCATGGCCTAGTTTCAGGTTTATTCAATGTGTATTCAATAAATAAAACGATTAAAACAATATAATGCAAGTTATTTGTCTGAAGCAGCAGGTGGCAGCAGGGYCCAATTTGCTTTTGAGTTACAGAAACCATCGAAGATGAAAACATTAACATCCCACATGTGTAAATGGATGGAGAAAATATTAGTTGGCAGAATAATGTATATCTTAGAGCAAAGAGAACTCATTASCAATTATCAATGTGGATTTAGAACAGGTCGATCAACAACTGATGCATTAGTTAGAGTTAGTAATGATATAGAAAAAGCACTAAAAATGAAAGAAATAATAGTAATTGTTTTCCTTGACATAGAAATAGCCTATGACTCAATGTGGAGAGAAGGATTGCTCATTAAATTAGAACAAATGGGAATAGTAGGGAGGGTTTATAAT